AGATGTAAACCCCCCCCCCCCACTTTCTTTCTTCTGGAAACTCAATCATGGCTGTGAGAACCAGAGCTCAGCAGAAGATTCACAGAAGCTGCTAGAGAATTGCTTCACTGCAGACAAGGAAGAAATGCCACTCAAGGGTAGGGGTCTGCCTGTTGCAAATGCAGAGACCCTGCCTGGTCCAAGGCTCCTGGCCTAGGACTTCAGCCGCCAGCATCCTCTTCCTCCCACCCAGGGGAGGATGCAGCTGCCCCACCTTCACAAAGCCATTCGGTCAGCTCCATAGGACTGGGGGGACTGCAGACCCAAAGCCCTCCAGGTGCCACGGCTGCCACCCCCACCTCTACTCTGGCCTCCCACCAGCCCCCTTGCTCCCCCGCTCCTCCAAGAGGGGAAGCAGCTGGTTCCCCCGTCTGCCTGTCTTGGCCCAGACTTTGGGCTGGAGATGGCAGACTGACCGTTGTGCCAGGCGGCCTGAGGGTCTCCCTGTCTCTCATGGCTGAAAAGGCCTCTGCTTTCTGCCTTTCTTTCTTCCTTTCTTCAATGCAGCTTGGCCAGAAGGAGGGCAGCAACTGACATTGTCTGGCAAATGTTACGTCATGAAGTATTAAATTATTATCTCATGGCCTTGAAAGATTAACAGAATAACAGAGTTGGAAGGGATCTCGTAGGTCATCTAGTCCAACCTCTGCTCAAGCAGGAGACCGTACACCATTTCTGACAGATGGCAGCCCAGTCTCTTCTTGAAAGCTCCCAGTGATGAAGCTCCCACAACTTCCGAAGGCAACTTCTGTTCCATTGGTTGATTGTTCTCACTGTCAGAAAGTTTCTCCTTATTTCTAAGTTGAATCTCTCCTTGTTCAGTTTCCATCCATTATTCCTTGTCTGACCTTCAGGTGCCTTAGAAAACAGTTTGACTCCTTCCTCTCTGTGGCAGCCCCTCAAATATTGGAAGGCTGCTATCCTGTCTCCCCTGGTCCTTCTCTTCACTAGACTAGCCATGCTCAGTTCCTGCAACCGTTCATCGCATGTTTTAGCCTCCAGTCCCCTCATCATCCTGGTTGCTCTTCTCTGCACTCTTTCCAGAGTCTCCTTTTTATAGTGTGGTGACCAAAACTGGATGTAGGATTCTAGGTGTGGCTTTACTAAGGCTTTGTAGAGTGGTATTAAGAGAAAGAGAACACAGGGAGGGAGGCTGGCTTGTCTTTCTGCCTCCATTTTGAGCGGCCAAATTTGGCCAAGCCAGCAGGTGCCTCAGTCTCCGAGCAGATGTTTCCATTTTCAGATGCACAAAATCCCCCTTAGAGAAGTATGACTCAATTCAGAGTCCCTGCTTGCTCAACTGTGCAAGAGTGGAGGTCTGCCTCGGAGGGCCTCCGTGTCCCTGGCCCTGCAGATGCTTCGCCCTAGGCCAGGCCAGGCCAGGCTTCCATGGGGAGGGAGTGGGGAGGAGGTTGCAGTATTTGTAGCCTGGGGGATTCCTCAGGGCTGCAAACAGGAGTCCTTGCACAGGGGGACTCCCAGACCAGCCCCCTCAGTGAGGGGCTCCTGATTTCAGCCCCACCCCAAGGGAAGGCCTCTCTAGCCCTAAGTCCCCACTCCTCCTCCTTCCCCATTGCAATTTTTCCTCCAACAGAGGCAGGGTGACTGTGAATAGTAGCAACTGGAGCCCTGATGGATTCATGCCCAGCTCTTCAAGCAGGAGCTGAAAGTGCAAGGGACATGATACAGCACCCCCCCCCCCACTTCTGTCCGAGGGAGGCTACCCACCCAGGAGTAAAGATGAAAAATCCCGGACTCCAGGAGGATCCCACAGCCACAGCCGGCACAGCACCAGGACAGATGCTGGGAATGAGCCTGGATGGCGGAGCAGGACAGAGACACAACAATGGCCACCCTCAGTGCCTGATAATGTCTCACCCTATGTCAGTTGTTAATTTCCCCCAGAAGCTTCACTATGATGGGAGCAGGAAAAGGGCAGCCCCCACAGCTGAGTCTCCAGCCTGAACTCTTCCCCACCAACACTGCCTATAAAGGAGGACCACCCTGACCATAGCACAGGGCCTCACACCCCCAGCCCCCCCCCGCCCCCAGGGCCAGGAGGCCACCGGACTTCCTTGTTTTTTCTCTGAAGAAAACAACGGTGACCATCATGGATGACTGGGAGTCTCCACAGACACCAGGGCCAAGGATATCAAAGCTGCCAAGAGGCCAAGGTGGGCCAGGAAGAATCCCCCAGCCAGAGGCCCCTCTGAGCAAGACCTTGTGTTGGGACTTAATCATGGTTGCCCCAGAGCAGTTTAGGGTGGTAGAGAAATCCAATGGAATTAGTCTCTGCCTGACCTCATTTCATTTTTTTTCTCTTTAACTTTTTTATTAGTTTATCAAAGCATAAAATACAAAGGGAAAAAAAGTGAGGGAAATGGAAAAGAAGAGAGGGAGGGGAAAAAGAGGGGGTATAGTTAGCTGGAGAAAAGAAGAAAGAAGAAAGCATCAACTTCCGATTCTCTTTAGCACAGTAGAAGGTAACAATAATACAACCACAACTTTTCGCTTTGACACAACAGCTACAAGCTATTTCTAGAACTGTCTGGTTTACAAAAACAGAATCAAAGTTTCACTTTTTTTCTCTCTCATTGCAAACACAAAATCTGGAAGCAATTTCAAAATTTCAAGCCGCCCTGAGTCTCCGGAGAAGGGCGGCATATAAATCAAATTTAAAAAAAAATAGAGACAAAATTAAATACAATCTCTTATTTGGATAAAAGAATCAGTTTAACCATTTCTGCTTCCCTTTGCTGTGGGGAATAATATATCATTCGTCCTCATGTTTTCAAATTTAGTCCATCATATTTCACCAACTTTGGAATATGACATTTCATTTTCAGGGACTCCCACTTCTAAAGAAAGCAAAGGGACTCCCGCAACTGGCCTTAAGGAGTGAAGCCTCGTCCCCGTTCTAATTCAAAACAAGTCTCTCCCAATCATTAAAGTCAAAATGGAGGCTGTTGAATGAAAGTGTGCTAGAGGTGGTCAAACAGGAGCCTTCGGCATCAGGGAAGGCGCTCTTGCCCTCCCCAGCCTGGTGCAGCTGCACAAACCTCCCAGTCTCAGGAGAACCTTTTCTCACGAAGGCCACCTCTGCAAAGGGATCAGGGCCTCTGTGGCTGGCCAAGTTCTGCTTTCCCTCATTGGCAGGGACTGACCTGGTCCTTTCTGGATGCTCTCCACCTGGCAGATAAAGGCACTTCTACTCCTGGCTACAGGTGGGACTCCGCTGTGCTCACTCGCCGGAAATTCGGATGTGGCTTTTACCCAGCCTCCCAAACTCTGACCTCAAATCCCAGATCAGCTGCTAAATGTGCACCCCATGGAGTACTTGACACTGAGTTCCAGCTGATGGCGCAGCAGTGTTTGCCTGAGAGGCCAGGAACTCTGTGCTCTTCTCCACAGAGGACAGACAGAGACCCCATTCAGCGGAGCTGTTGGGAGCCGTGCCAGGCTCAAGCAGACACACCAAATGTGCGCAGCCTTGGAAAACTGCAGTCAGCTGCACAACGACTTAAGACCCATCATTAAAGGCCTAGAAACTGAAACGCGATTTCTTGCTTAATGAACTCTCCGATTTCTGAGGAGTTATGACAGCCGTACCGTTGCCCACACCCAGACCTACATTTCTGTGAAAATATATAGTCCAGGCATGAAGCGAATGAAAATAAATATAATTCTCTCTTTTTTAAAAAAAAACAGGGAACTCCAAGCATTTTGGGGACAGAGGGACTTTGTATTGTGCAACATGCTCAGCCTGGCTCATGTGAAATGGTGGGTTTGTGGTTCAGGGAACTCAATCTCTGCATTGCCAGCATGTAGAAATCAAGAGATAAAATATGAAGAGAAAGCATTTCAAGCATTATTACAGAGCTGGAAGCAGCAAAGCCACAGCCACAAAGCCTCAGCACTCTGCAGCCAGCCAGGGAACCCCTGAATTCTCCTTCCAAGTCCACGTGAGCTTCTCCACACATCCCTTGCAATTGCTGGATCACCCAGCTGCTTTCCCCTGAAACGACTCCGGGCGAGTTCAGACATGGAGTCAGGCAGCAGAGAGGCGAGGGTGGGCTCAGCAAAGACCACTCCCAATTCGGGTTTCCCAACAAGAAAACTCAGACCGAGGCTGAGCTTCTTTTCCTCTCTAGCCCCCCTCATAAGGAGCCTGGTGCAGAGTATATATTTACATCTACGGCCCCCCTGAGAAATTAAAAAGCCTGCAATGCACCAGCTGTAATGTCACCACTGCCGTTGGGGAAAGAGAGCTTGGGCCAAAACGCTGCACACTAAACTGGGGAGCTCAACAGGCAGAGAGGGAAGACGCCACCTTTCCACACAGCCGCGTTTCGTTTCAACCTTCCCCTCCACCACCAAAGATTTCTCCCCTACATAATAGAGTTGTGATTTTTGGAAGGTCCTTAATGAAAAAGCTACTTTTGCAATGGTTCAGGCAGCCTTGCTCGTTCTTCCCCTAAAGACATCCAGCCTTCTCAATGGGTAGAATAACTGCAGCTGTTCTACTGCACGAATTACAAAATGAATTCCATTCATTCAACAACACAGCAACTTTCCGTGATTTTGTTTTGAAGGGTGAAGGCAACACAACAGCTTCAACCCTCTGTGTTAACAGGGTCCCTCCAAGCACTACCAGATGCATCTGCCCAGCGGCCTCTCGCAGGACACGGAGGCTTCAGCCAGACCCACGTCCAAGCATCAGCAGCAGGGTGGGGGGAGGCTTCTGCTCTGGGTGAGGCCGCCCCAAGGCCTGCTTGGGGCCAGTGTTGCCAACGGCTACATAAACGGCAGCGGCTGTACCCGGAAGGGGCTGCCAGCACCTCAGGGGTCTTCTGGGCAGGTGTCCTTGTATCTCGAGCCCTCTTCAGAGGCATTTTCCTCTGGGGGGGCTTCAAACTGGAAAAAGCCACTTCACACTTTCCCCCGCCCAAAGCCCCACTTACTTTTCCGAAGTCCCTCACGTCAAAGAGGTCGAAGGGGTCGAAGAGCTCGCTGTTCCGGAGGCCGAACTTGTCATGACACACTTTGAGGAACGTCCGGATGTTCTTCAGGCAAAGGAACTGCAAGAGAAAGGGAGCCCTTGAGAGCCTTTCCCAGAGACCCACAATGGGGAGGACCCTGAAATGAGAACCCCCCCCCACTCCCTCCACACAGTTCTCTCCCCTGGTGGTCTAATCCCAAACGCCAAGTCCAAGCAGGGAGGACAAGGGGAGCAGCCTCTCAGACACGGAAGACACACAACACCCTCAATCCTGGGTTCACATGGCTTGACAGGCTGGTCTTCAACAGGTTTGGTGTCAAAAGGAGAGCCAAAGATTGGCCCCAAGGAAGCCGGAGAGACCTCTGCCCCAGTGCCCTCTCGCACAGACCTGGTGGCCAAGGTGCTGGGAGTTGAGGGCTTTGTGGTCTCGCCAGATGCACCAGGAGCTTCAACCTCCCCATTAACCACTCCACTTTTGCATGTGCACACAAACACACACACACACACACACACACACCATTCTGCTCAAATCCCCCTGTGTGTCCTGAGGACTAGTCACTTCTCAGCCTTTGGTGGAGGCAGAAGAGGCAACCCTGCAAAGGGGTTATTCAACAAAGTTGCTTAAAAAAAACCAGGAGCTGGATTTTTTTGCATTTTTTTTTCAGCTGCAGTATTGAATTTGGTAGGGCACAGATCCAAGTGAAGCTCTAATGCCCCTGGTCAAGGCACTGCCAGCCTCCAATTCAAGCAGGACCCCGCTGGGGCTGGGGGGGAGGGAACAGTTTTGCATTGAGTCAAATGAGCCTCCTTCACTTTTTTTTTTATATATATATGCCGCCCTTCTCCAGAGACTCAGGGCGGCTTACAATGCGCTAAGCAATAGCCTTCATCCTTTTGTATATTTATACAAAGTCATCTTATTGCCCCCACAAACTGGGTCCTCAATTTACCTACCTTAGAAAGGATGGAAGGCTGAGTCAACCTTGAGCCTGGTGAGATTCAAACCTGCAGAAATTGCAGGCAGCTGTTCTTAATAATAGGGTGCTTTAGACCACTGTACTACCAAGGCTCTTCCCCGGCCTACAGCTGCAGAGAGGGGTGGGAGGGGGCTTTTTTCCCAGGCTTTTACTGCTCTCTGGACCCTGCGAGGGTCTTCAGCTCCTGCCCTCCAATCACAGAACGAGGAGGGGCAGTGGGGAGACCAACGGACTGAGATCTCCTCAGAGCTCTGGCTCAGATTTGGGAAGACCCCCTGGGGGCTACTCCCAGGCACACCAGCATGGTCTCTGGCCGTCTGGTCAGAGGCTGTGTTGCCAGGTGGCCCACTGCCGAAGCCGTGTGTGTGTGTGTGTGTGTGTCCGTGTCCTAGGAAGCTTGGAGAGGCGGCAATGGATGCTGAAAGACCCTCCCTTGAGCCCTTTCTGGCTGCGAGGCAGGGCTGGGCTGCTCCTTATCTTGCTGCAAGCAGAGCCAAGAAGAAAAATGCCTGTTTTTTGAGGGGAGGGGCTTGGGCGTGTTGAGGGGAGGTGTTAAAGGAGTTGCTGCTGCTGGCTGTTCCCTCCTCACTCCGCTGGCCCTTCCCCAAAGCTGAGGGCAGCCCCACCCTTCCTAAGGACCTTCCTTCAACTTTTCCCTTCGTTGCAAAGCTGGGCTCACAGAAAGCAGCCCTGAAGATAGTTGGGGACAACCTGGCCAGTGACCCCCCTCCTGGTCAAGTCATCCGGCCCTTAAGAAGCTGTTCCTTCTGCCCCCCCCCCCCCCCCGCCTTCATGACCGACCCACGATAATGACAGCACGATAGCAGGAGGGAAAGGGCAGAAAGCCCTGGAGGGGGTCTTGCTGGAGGGAGGCCTGGAGTATGTTTGGCCTGGAGGAGAGGCGATTGGGGGAGACAGATCCTCTCTTATCAGGCTGGGCAGAAAATAAATTAAAACCCAGTGAGAGGAATTAGATTTTGCTTCCGTCTTCATTGATGAGGAGAACTCTTTGCCAGGGGATCAGGTCCTCCCCCACCCCACCCGGCCACTGATGGGGTGCTGCTCTGCTATGACGCAGGAGTCTGTGAAGAAAGCTGGGCAGGAAATGTTGGAGATGTGAATGTAATGATGCAACCTATTATCATATATGGTGGACCTGTAAGAAAATCAAGGCATTTTCGATAAAAATTTGGTGGGTGACGCAGAATATTCTGAAAAGAAGGTTGAAATTTACTCAATTGTTCCTATTGGGTATAACTACGGACTGTACAGTATCAGAGACTAAATTGATTTTGAATTTAATATCAGCAGCTAGGCTGTTGGTAGCGCAATATTGGAAGGACTCTTTGCCTACTATTGAAGAGTAGATACTGAAAGTAACGAACCTAGCAGAAATGGCGAAAATCTCAGCGTACCTGAAGGACCACACACAAGAAAGATACGTATCGGAATGGAGAAGATGGATTGATTATATTCAAAATAAGTATCAGACAAGAAAATATCAAATAGCTTATGAATGAATATTTAGTATTAGAAGTATTATGTTATCTATAGTGGAATTAAGGTTTGGGGGGGGGAGTTAGTAATCTGAGGATAAGTAGGTTAATCTAGTTTGATTGTTAAATGAAATACCTTGTATTTTGCTCTGGGAAGTCTGGGGGGGAGGGGGGGATGAGGGGAGGGAATGGGGGGGAAGAAAATTCTTGCTTTTTTGTAAAACTTCTCAATAAAAAAAAAAAGGAAAGCTGGGCAGGGAGACCCTCCCTCCTCTCGCAAGGCAGCCCCACTGGGGGCTCCTCCTGAGCCTGCCATCACCCTGGCAAAGGAGGGCGGCCACTCTGGCTGCCTTCGTCTGCCCCCCCCCCCACCCCCAAAGCCTCTGCCAATGGGAGGCCATAGCTAGATGGGCAAGGGTGGTGCCAAGCATGCATTTTCTTCACAAAAGCAAAAATCAAAACATAGATCTCTTAAGTTTTCACTACTGGGTAGCTACAGACACTTTGCTACGTCAATTATGGAACTCCCCACCACAAGAACCATAGCAGGATTATGGCAGGGCATGGGGGAGGGGAAGTCTCCTGGCAACAAGGTGGTGAGCCAGCTACCCAAGACACCCAATTCCAGAAATTGAGCCGATATCTCTGCTCCCACTGCCCCTTCTTCACACACACACGCACACCCCCGGCAACTGCCTTGCTTTCTTTCTTTCTCTCCCAGAGGTCCTAAGTAGGACTAAAGAGACATTCTTGGAAATGAAAAATTAATTTAATCATTTGTAAATTTATCGGGCTAGAAACTGGGAGAACCCGAGTTCTAGTCCTATCCTAGGCAGGAAGCCAGCAGGCTGACCTTGGGCCAGTCCCTCCTTCAGCACCCTAGGAAAGACACAATGGCTTCTGGAAAAGCTTGCGTGAAAATTGCCAGGACTTATGTAGGCAGGAGCTGACAATGACTTGAAGCCCCACCGCCCAGCCCCTCTCCCAGTTCATCCCAGCCAGAAGCTGCTTCCTCAGGAGACGGATCCTGTGACCCTTTTCTCAAGGGACAGAATCCGAAGTAAATTCAACACAAAGACCCGAACCAGCTCTTCCCATGGGCTCTTCTCAGCCAGGCTTTGAGGTCCAGCCACGAAAATGCCGCAAAACTTTCCCTCCAAAATCAGCACTTTGGGGAGGAGGGGTTTTCCTACAAGCCGCCATTTGAAGCCCCAATGCTTAGTGAAGAGAGAAAGTAGAGTCCCAGATACACACACACACACAAAGTATTTTCTGAGGAAACTCCTCTGGAATTTGTGTGACTCCCCAGCAGGCACTTTTCCTGCCACCCACCCACCCGTTTCCAAATAACTCAACTCTGTTAATGCATAAACTGCCCCCCCCCCCCGTCAGAAAAGAATTAGGGACTCGGAGTCAATAGCACAAAAGTCTGACAATCTGCACCGAATCTCAGCTGCTCAATTTGAGTCAGAAAGGACTCTGCCCTCCCCTCCCCTAGGGGAGGCAGGTCAGCCATTCAACCCCCACCCCCAAATCTCCAACAGCTGGACTTGCTCCCAGTTGATGGAGCCTCAGCCTTGCTGCCCAATGCGCCAGGCAGTCCCCAGGCCAGCCCCTCTCCCTCAAATTTAGGAATGCCCCAGCGGGCATTGCCCAAAGCCTCCCAGTTGATGACAGGAAAGAAACATGGCCTGGAGACACGGATGACGCGCTGGGGCGGCTGCCGCATCAGTGAAGAGGGTGCGCACAGCACTTCTGTGTGAAATTCTACTCCAGGGCTTAACTCAGAACAGCAGCGGAAGCTCAGTTGTTCTGCACACCAGTCGGAGATCCAGAAGATCTGCTTTTGGGGATCAGTCTGGAGCCAGATGTGTGCAAGTCCCACAGAGCAGCTGCAAGGAGCTCCACAGCATTCGGGAAACAGAGGCAGAGCAGGCAGGGCCCATGTGCCAGGCGAGGGAGGGCAACAACCGGGCCTGTGTGCCAGGCACGGCTGCCATGTCCAAATCCTCAGAGGGGGGCAAGACCATGGCCAGAAGCCCAAAGCGCAAGTCGCTCTGGATTTTCTGAAGGCTGAGATGCTCCCCGTGGCTCTCAGTGCATCCTGCAGCCCCAAGGCCTCCTCTGCCCCGAGCTTCACTCGGCTTTGGGGCCAGAGGAGCCCTAGATGCTGCCCACCCCAGGCTGCTCTTCCCCTGCTGAGCTTCTTCTGGGTTGGATTCCCTGCCAGATTCAAGCAGTGAAGCAAATTTCTCCTGAAAACGGAATTGAGCCCAGCAGGGAGGCTGGGCATGAACTGCAATGGTCTGCCAGAAAGGAAGGAGGAGTGCCAGCCCTAGGCGGGTGTCTGAGGCACTCCCAGGCCGCCATCTAAATCAGAGAGTAACGAGGAGGCACCTCCGCCCTGCAAAGACAGCCCCAGGCCACGAAAGTTCACCTGTGAACCAAGCTATGAGGCAGAAAGTATGGAAATCTGAGCCACTCGGCCTGCAGGGGGGCTGAGGGAGCATCGGCTTCTCCCTCCACAACAATGAGGCGCCTTCGGCCAGTGTGGCTCTTTTGCACAACTAGGAAAAAAAGGGTTGTAACCCTTTCAGCAGAGAAGA